GTAGCAGGCTTGACGCTTCCGCAAAATTCAGCAGTGTTGGATCCTCGCTGCTTGACGCTTGCTGCTTGCTGCGTGCAGTCTGCACCAGGCTTGACGCTCGAAGTGAAGCCTAGTGCAGACTGCACGCAGCAAGCAGCAAGCGTCGAGCAGCAGCCAATCAACGAAGAGATATTTTCTACGCCACTGCTGACGCTTCCGTAAAATTCAGCAGTGTTGGATGCTCGCTGCTCGACGCTTGCCGCTTGCTGCGTGCAGTCTGCACTAGGCTTTCATGGTCAAGCGTCAGCATGAAAATGCACCTTGAGTGACTCGAGAAAGTTCCACCAGTTGCCCACTGAGCGCAGCACATGCGCATCGGCAGACCCAGTGCCGACGCGCATTTTGTCAGCCCATCTGACGTATTGCTGGCGTACGGCGTGTCCAGGTGCGTTTTCGCCGTGCCCGTCGCTTCCGCGAGCTTCTGCATCACGATGGACTCGATTCCGAAGACGCACAAAGGTACGTCTCTTCGCTTGCGACCCGCCACCCGACCTCTGTCGATCACGTCCGCGCGAGACTTAGATGCAGAATAAATATCAGCCGAAAGCGGGGGTCGGTCGGAGCGCAGTTGACACACGTTCGCGCGGCCCAGTCAGAGGAACCATAAACAGTAACTCTTTACCAAGCGAACCAATTAACGCGACATTCGTAGTCTTCCTCGCGCTTCGGACGGGACGTCCAACTGTTTCCGAAGCGTGACGCGTCAGCCGTTTAAATCGCCCAGTGGTCGGTCGAACGAGCGACTGTGCGTCGTGACGCAAAGTGGTCTTTTTTTTGCTGCGAGAGCAGCGTCGCTCAGTTTCGTCTAGGAACGTCTCACGTTACGTTGAATCTACAATATCTAACGTTACTTGAATCTACAGTACCTCTGCTTGTTTCTTATAATTTAACACGACGCTCCTACATTGATTTGTGTCGCAGACATCGAGGCGCAGATACGAGAGATCCAGTCGAAGAAGAAGAAGGAGCACCTGAGCGCGACATCCGAGAAGGACCAGGTTGCTCTGGGGAAGACTGGTTTTTACGATCAGGATATATACGACAGTAGCAACAACAAATTTGACGGCTATGTCACGTCGATTGCAACCAACGATGAAATTGAGGTATACCTTGCGTCCACTAACGAGTCTACTTTTCATTCGTTCGTTGTTCAGGCCACCTTTGACTTCACTGTTACCCTTGGAAATGGAGCTCGTAATACACGCTGTAGTTTGTGGAATTTATGGATAAAAGATTAATGTAGACAATTTCTGTGCAAAATAGGATTACGATCCGTTTGCGGACAAACGACTACCCACCATAGTCGACAGAGAAGAAAAGGATTACGATCCGTTTGCGGATAGACGACGACCTACCATAGCTGACAGGGAGGATGAATACAGACAGAAGAGACGAAGAATGATCATCTCCCCTGAACGTGTCGATCCCTTTGCAGAAGGTGTGACTTTTTTCTTGCAACTTGCAGGACTTTAGTTAAAATCATGAAGCGATAAATAACTGTTAGTTAACTCGGCAAATGTGTATTAAATTATTCTTTTATAGAGGAAGGTCTTCTATTATGAGATAGAATAATAGGAGATAGCGGGGTTTCTACTACATTGTTGAGCGTCATTTGTTGGTTCCACTATGAACGGATTGTTCTTGGAGTGAAATCTGTGGCGTAAAAAATTCATTGTTTGCGAAAAGAGATTTGTGACTGAATTTTTTGTCGAAAACTTGCTATCGTATATTAGAAGCCTATCTTGTAATCGGGGACTTTCCTCTGTAACGTCTCACCTATTTGAGTTTTCAACTTGAAAACTACAGCCGGTTTTTTTTAATTACAGGTGGTAAGACACCGGACATCGGTTCCAGGACATATACTGAGATCATGCGAGAGCAAATGCTGAAAGGTGAAGAGACAGAGGTGTGTTGAGTTTTAATGTCTGAATATAAAGTATAAAAAGAAAATTACAAGATTATCATATATGAAACATAGAATTTTTTTACGTACATTTTGCATTTTCTCTTGCAGCTGAGAAAAAGATTGGCAGAAAAGGCAAAGGACGGCACTTTGAAGGCCAACGGCGAACCTAAACCGGCTCCCAAAAAGAGAGGTCGCTGGGACCAAACAGATGACACTCCAGTGCAGAAAAAATTATCCAGTGCTTCAGCAACACCTACGTCTTGGGATAATGCAGACGTATATTTGCCACGTTACTTTTTTAATGCATTGCCTTAACTCTTTTTATTTAAATTCATTATTTGAAATATTCTTAGAAACATTGATATCGTGCGTTTTGATTAATTGTAACATTCGGGGATACTATTTTCTGTGCGTCACTATCTACTCTTGCTCTATCAGATTTGCAAATATTTATCGTAATTTAAATTTAATATAAAAATTCGATTATCACAATGTGTCATTTAAATGTACTTCAATCCGTTTTTCCTTGTAATATTTTACAATTGTTATAGGTAACACCAGCTGCTATCAGATGGGACGAAACTCCGGGTCATGGCAAAGGAGCGGAGACACCTGGAGCTACTCCTGGAGTCAGCACGAGAATGTGGGACGCCACGCCTGCACACGCGACGCCAGGAGCTGTGACCCCGGGCAGAGAAACGCCTTCTCATGAGAAAACTGTAACAAGCCGGAGGAATCGTTGGGATGAAACTCCAAAAACCGAAAGAGGTTCATTTGCACTATTTTGCTGTTCTGCAAATAACTAAAAAAAGAATTCATATGAAAAGAATTGTAAACATAATTACGAGATTAATCCATCTTCGTTCCTACTACGTCAACAGCTTTGTACAATTGAGGAATTTAACATACACATTTTTTAGAATTTAGATGATATTAAAGCAATATATAAATACGTGCTGATTTAATAATTTTATGTAGAAACACCTGGACACGGCAGCGGCTGGGCAGAGACTCCGAGAACCGATCGAGTCGCTGGGGATTTGATACAGGAGACTCCGACACCCTCGGCGAGCAAGAGGCGAAGTCGATGGGACGAAACTCCATCGAATCAAACGCCGGGCTCGATGACGCCGCAAACTCCGGCGACACCACTTGCAACACCCCATCAGACAACAATACTGACCCCAAGTGCCGTCACGCCGACGGGACCCAAGGCAATGGGTCTGGCTACACCGACCCCGGGACACTTGATGTCCATGACGCCCGAACAGCTGCAGGCGTATCGCTGGGAACGCGAGATAGACGAGCGAAATAGACCCTTGTCGGACGACGAGTTGGACGCGCTGTTTCCGCCTGGATACAAGATTTTGCAACCTCCGGCAGGTGAGATGCGAATACAGAATCAATATTTTTTTAATATTATCTGATTTTCTGAAGATACACAATTTATATATTTCAAGAAAGTAAAAGATTGAGGAGTCCAGAATTTTTAAAGAGCTTGGAATCTAACGATAATTATCAAAATTATTTTATGAAAGAAATAGAAAAATTTTATGTTTTATATTGGAATACATATGCATAATTATACTTTTTCAGGATATATACCTATTCGCACACCCGCTAGGAAGCTTACTGCGACGCCTACGCCTATCGCTGGTACACCTCAGGGTTTCTTCATTCAGACGGAAGACAAGAGCGCCAAGTATGTGGATAATCAGCCGAAGGGCAATCTGCCGTTTATGAAACCGGAAGACGCGCAATATTTCGACAAGCTGCTAGTCGACGTGGACGAGGAAACGCTGAGTCCTGAGGAACAGAAAGAGAGAAAAATTATGAAGCTGCTTCTGAAGATAAAGAATGGGACTCCTCCGATGCGTAAAGCCGCCTTGAGGCAAATCACCGACAAAGCGAGAGAATTCGGCGCTGGGCCACTGTTCAATCAAATCCTTCCACTCCTCATGTCGCCTACTCTTGAGGATCAAGAACGTCATTTATTGGTCAAAGTCATTGATCGTATTTTATACAAACTGGACGATTTGGTGCGACCGTATGTACACAAGGTAATTACTTTTGGTCATTGTGTCATCGTTCAACTGTAATTTTACTCCGTTCTATTATATTTAATTGTGCTATTTAGATTTTAGTCGTCATCGAACCTTTGCTGATTGACGAAGACTACTATGCTCGCGTCGAAGGCAGAGAGATTATTTCCAACTTGGCAAAGGCTGCAGGATTGGCCACGATGATCTCCACAATGAGGCCAGATATCGATAATATTGACGAATACGTACGGAACACGACAGCGAGAGCGTTCGCGGTTGTCGCATCCGCTCTCGGAATCCCTTCGCTTCTTCCGTTCTTAAAAGCCGTCTGTCGCAGCAAGAAGTCCTGGCAAGCGCGACACACTGGTATCAAGATCGTGCAGCAAATAGCTATCTTAATGGGTTGCGCCATTTTGCCGCATTTGAAGAGCTTGGTGGAAATTATAGAACATGGTAAACTTCTGCTTGCATATACAGCCCGTATATTGCAATTGTATTAATTTTTTTCTTGAATTATAATCACGACACGAAATATTGCAGGTCTAGTGGACGAGCAGCAAAAGGTACGGACAATTACCGCGTTAGCCATCGCTGCGCTGGCCGAAGCAGCAACGCCGTATGGTATCGAAAGCTTCGACTCTGTGCTAAAACCGCTGTGGAAAGGCATTCGTACACACAGAGGAAAAGGTTTAGCAGCGTTCCTAAAAGCTATCGGTTATCTCATTCCTTTGATGGATGCAGAATACGCGAATTACTATACTAGGGAAGTAATGCTAATTCTTATACGTGAATTCCAATCTCCCGATGAGGAAATGAAAAAAATTGTATTGAAGGTAAGATTTCATTGCACGTACCATATCTTACAAGTTAATCTCACGTCAAATCCTTTTTTTTCCTAACATTCTACGTAAATTGTATGTTAAACAATAGGTAGTTAAACAATGCTGTGCAACGGATGGTGTGGAAGCTCAATACATAAAGGACGAAATCTTGCCTCACTTCTTCAAACACTTCTGGAATCATCGTATGGCACTGGATCGCAGAAATTACAGACAGGTAATGGGGAAAATATTTTGTTAGTTTTCAGCTATAAATTTTTGCGTATACGTAATCGGATAAATGAAATTGCAGCTTGTGGATACGACAGTTGAGATTGCGAACAAAGTGGGCGCGTCAGAGATCATCAATAGAGTAGTAGACGATTTGAAGGACGAGAACGAGCAGTACAGAAAAATGGTGATGGAAACGATCGAGAAGATCATGGGCAATTTGGGGGCAGCGGATGTCGATTCGCGTCTAGAGGAGCAGCTCATCGATGGAATTTTATACGCTTTCCAGGAACAGACTACTGAGGTTTGTTGGTGCTAATTAATTAACAAATCATAAATTCGTGTAAAGACCGACTTGACTAGCAAAAAAACACGCTTGAACTAATTTTATTTACAGGATGTCGTTATGCTGAATGGCTTTGGTACGATTGTGAACACATTGGGCAAAAGGGTGAAGGCGTATCTTCCTCAAATATGTGGTACAATATTGTGGAGGTTGAATAACAAGTCTGCAAAAGTCAGACAACAGGCCGCGGATCTTATCTCGCGCATTGCAGTAGTCATGAAGACTTGTCAGGAGGTGAGAAATTGCAGTCTTGAATTCCTTGATTTATGTAATGTAAATATACGGAGACAATGTGTATAATAATGATTAAAATTTAATACAAACGCGCGTGCGATATTTCTAGGAAAAACTGATGGGACATCTGGGAGTCGTTCTATATGAATACTTAGGCGAGGAATACCCAGAAGTGCTAGGTAGCATTTTAGGAGCGTTGAAGGCTATTGTTAACGTTATAGGAATGACGAAGATGACACCGCCCATTAAGGATTTGTTACCGAGGCTTACACCCATCTTAAAAAACAGACACGAAAAGGTGAAATTTGTCTATATTCGTATATCGAGCTGTCCGCGTTGTGTCTTGGACGCGCGTAATCGCGTCGACATATCCTATATGTCGATGGTATTCTGTATCAAATTTAATTTACCGTTAATTTTGCTGTAGGTGCAAGAAAACTGCATTGATCTCGTGGGCAGAATCGCAGATCGAGGTCCCGAATATGTTTCCGCTCGAGAGTGGATGAGGATATGCTTCGAATTGTTGGAACTACTGAAGGCGCATAAAAAGGCTATTAGAAGAGCGACGGTAAACACTTTTGGCTACATTGCCAAAGCTATTGGGTAAGTCATTCAATAATTTAATACCTTTTTGTTTTATGTACAAGCATGTACATTTATATAACGTTTGCATTTCCCTCGAACAGGCCGCACGATGTCTTGGCGACGCTTCTGAACAACTTGAAAGTACAGGAACGTCAGAATCGCGTTTGCACCACAGTGGCTATTGCCATCGTTGCTGAGACTTGCAGCCCTTTCACAGTGTTACCCGCATTGATGAACGAGTACAGAGTGCCCGAGCTGAACGTGCAGAACGGAGTATTGAAATCCTTGTCGTTCTTGTTTGAATATATCGGCGAGATGGGTAAAGATTATATTTACGCTGTCAGTCCGTTGCTAGAGGATGCACTTATGGACAGGTAAGATGTCCGAACATCACAGTGTATTTAATTTTACTACTGCAATTAGATATCAAATTTGCTTAGTTTCACAAATTATTACTGATCGATTCTCCTCTCTTTCATTTATTAGAGATCTAGTACATAGGCAGACTGCGTGCGCCGCAATTAAGCACATGGCACTAGGCGTTTATGGATTTGGATGCGAAGACGCGTTAATACATTTATTGAATCACGTGTGGCCGAACGTTTTCGAGACCTCGCCACATTTAGTCCAAGCGTTTATGGATGCCGTGGATGGACTGCGCGTTGCGCTCGGGCCAATCAAGATTTTGCAGTATACGCTACAAGTATGTATTCATTTTAATTGCACAAACACACATATCCTCCAAGTTGACAAGTATTAAGCGTATGTTATTCGCACATCGTGCATTTGCCTTTCTATTACAGGGTTTGTTCCATCCAGCCCGTAAGGTTCGCGACGTTTATTGGAAGATATACAATTCTCTTTACATCGGCGGGCAGGACGCTCTCGTGGCTGGTTACCCTCGCATCATGAACGATCCAAAGAACCAATATATTAGATACGAATTGGACTACGTATTGTAATAGAGAACTTGCAGCAATAAGACAGTTATAACAAGGTTCTTATATAAGTAATTCTATAAATATAAATATCCACATTAAAGACTCGTCGTTATAAAGATGAGTTTAAACAAATGTTGAAGTTTTTTTTTCCTAAATGTCCAAAATTCGCACTTAGACCATGAAAAAAAATTTATCATTCCAGGATATGTTTGGAACAGCTACGTGTGTCACGCCGTCATTTCTGATATCTAATGAAAAAAAGGCTGAGGATGTATTACCTTACATTTTACTTAAAGATACATGTTACGACACTTGTATAGATATTGCTCCGATATCGATTTTGAAGGCATGGAAATGTCAGCACATAAAGAGAACACGTCTGGTTGTAGCTTACCATTTTAGATCGCAATCTTTTTAATCCTAGGTTCGTTGGAACTTACAATCTTTTGAGCTCTGAATACCGGTGGATTCTGGAATTCTTATCAATGTGTCTAGAGACCCTCGGGACATCTTAGATTCTCCGAATTCTAGGTACCGTGGATGCTAGGTCTTCGGCATTTCATTTTGCTTAAATCTGTTTCTAGTTTTGAATCTTACCAGTTTGAATTATAAAGCTATTCAATGCAACAAATTCATTGTTGGCACTCTTGAAACAATTTTGATTTGATAACGCAATCCATCAGTTTGTCATTTCTAATCATTTGATCGAATAATAATGTTATTTATCATGTAACGACTTGACGTAGGTACTCACGAAATTATATGTGCGTGTGTATGTGTGAACAATTGTGTTAAAAATTACATGATTTTTTAATATAATAAAAAGAAGACGGAAAAGAGAGAGAGCGGAGATATAAAAACAAATTTTTACAATAGCTTGTATATTGTTAAAATAATACAAATAATATGTTTCTAAATATTTCTTTGACATTTTTAACACATTAGATCGATTTCGTGAGTCACTATTGCTATCGAAGACGAGTATAAATATTACTTTGCAACAACATAATTAATATTGCTTTCAACTGTCAATGAGATGAGCATAAATATCATCAAATAAAAAAATGATCGTATTGTAAATAATTATTTGCTTGCGTTTCTTGGTAAGAAAATCATGCATTAATTATGAAGAAAATATACTACATGTGGAAAAACTGGACGAATGTTTTCCTATTATTGAAGATAATTTTCGGAATTTTAAACGAGGGATAAGCGCGAATGGTTTCAGCAGTTTTTATTAATTGATCACAAATATACATAAATTGTTGTATATTTATCATTTTGTATTCTCTAACTTTCTTTTAATGACTTTTACTTAAGGAGGATAAACATGTTAGAGATGCCCATTGTTTCAATTATCTTAAAAGTTCTAAGAAAAGAGCAGAGACTAATGCTCAAAAATACAAAAACTAATTGTAGAAAATTAATTTTATACATTTATACATACTGTATATCACTGTATCCATCAAATCATAAATCCATAGATTGCTAGATTCACTGGAATCGTTAATTATTAGACCTTTCTATCCATATGTCTATGTTGTAATATCTTGCGCTCGTTTTACCGGCGGGAAATTATATGTATTCTGGAACGTTGCGCTCGGATGTCGTGGCCAGATTTTCGAGATCTCGTAGTGTTTCGTACTTCCGAATGCAGTGATCTAAAAAGGAGAAAGGAAGGGCAGCAAAAAACATATTGACAAGGATTAGCGTGGTTGTCAAGGCAACCTTAGCGGTAGTCGCCGACAGATATTCATCTGTCGGGGAAACTCTAGTGTCAGCCTTGCGGCGAAGCCTGGTCTGCCCGAAGGCGAGACCGATGTCTGCCCGAAGGCGAGACTAAGTCAGCCTTGCGGCGAAGCCTGATCTGCCCGAAGGCGAGACCGATGTCTGCCCGAAGGCGAGACTAAGTCAGCCTTGCGGCGAAGCCTGATCTGCCCGAAGGCGAGACCGATGTCTGCCCGAAGGCGAGACTAAGTCAGCCTTGCGGCGAAGCC